TACTACTACTACTGATACTACAACTATTACTGGTACTACTGCTACTACTACTACTCGTAGTAGCGCTACCATTAGTATTAGCACTGCTAACACTGCTGGTGCTGCTGCTACCACTCCCACTCCCACTCCCACTGCCACTGCCACTGCCACTGGTACTGCTACTGCTGCTGCTGGTGTTGCTGCTACTGCTGCTGCTGCTGCTGCTGCCGCTGCTGGTGCTACTTGTATTGCTATCGCTACCGCTACTGCTGCTGGTCCTGCTCTTGCTCCTGCTCCTGCTGCTGCTGCTGCTGCTGCTACCACGCCCACTGCCACTGCTACTGGTACTGCTGCTGCTGCTGCTGCTGCCGCTGCTACCGCTGCTGCTGCTGCTGCTGCTTGTATTGCTATCGCTACCGCTGCTGCTGCTGGTCCTGCTCTTGCTCCTCCTGCTGCTGCTGCTGCTACCACCTCCGCGACCACGACTGCGACAAAGACCACGACCACAACGACGGTCACAACGGCCATGACCACTCTCCCAGACCCACTTCCAGACCCCAGGCAACTTACTGTTGTGCCCATGAGGCGTCAGGCGATAGAATAAAACCAAGCGATGCTCCCTTTCCGGCAGAACCCCCTGGGCGGGGCGGGGGTAGGCGGCATCAAATCACCCCCAGGATTCTTGGCTGCACCTAGGTGACAGGATCAACCTTTGCCATGTGCTGCGAGAGATACAACAGCCAGATTCTCCTGGCGCAGGAGTTTGCACGTTGCATGGGCTCTTGTCATCTGAAGGGAGCGCACAAGCCTCTGTGGTTTCGCCGGATGCCGATTGCAGTGCAGGTTGAACAAATCATGGGTGGCGTTTGGGTTTTCGCGCAGTGCCCAACTTAGCGATCAGGACATGTTCAAAGCGAATCGATGATGTTGTTGTCCCATGCTCAATTAACACGTTTCTTGAGGTTGATCCTCTTTGCCATGCTTGGCAGCAAAACGAGCCTGTCTTCTCGGACTTGACTGTTCCGGTTGTCATGTTGGCCAGTGCAAACTACAAGGCCTGCTCACGTCGTGGTCAGGTCCATCAATCTTCCCAACCCTGGTGACGGTACTTCCAATTATGGCACAGAGCTTACGTGAAATGAATTGGCAAGAGTCTTTTGTGTCCTTCTCTCGCTCTCAGCACCTGGTTTTGCCCTCTTCGGAGGCGGTGGGGCTTCTTGCACGCTTTGCTGGAGTGTTGCTGAGCGTCGGGGGACTCAGCAGAGCTGTAGCCTCTTGTGCAACACCGAACAAAACTGAACCCATCTGAGAGTATCCCGTCCTTGGTCCTAGGTTCTAGATGGCCCATTAAGACAGCACTGAACCCATGCGTTGAGGGTATTGGATAGAAGCCATGGTGCTGGCACACTTCGAGAGGTCTCACAGTATGAGTTGAGTGTTCAGGGCCAACGCTGATGCGATCAACTCCCCTCGACCAAAATGAGTCAAGCAGGCAAAAACATGTGTGTGCAGTTGTGTTGACCTCGCTCGAATTTGTCTGAGGTCAGAGCAACAACAGCGCAACGCAGAACAGAGAACCAAGGCAATGGACCCGATTCCCAGATGCTTCCTGCGGCACGAGAGCGAAGTGCTGCAGGATTGGGGCAAGCTCTCGCCGATGCATGCTTCTGCTTTCTTTCTGTCCTTCCGCGTGCCCGGGCCCCGGCCGGGCACAATCACGATGCATAGCTCCCAATGCCGATGCGAGGCGACCATCCAAGGAGCTTTGGGTGCTGTGCCCGTGAATCAACGCTTCTTCCAGGAGACGAGCTGACGAGCCGTGTCTTCGCACACATCTGAGCCAAGTCTGAGCCCGTTCACTTCACGCAGGACGAAGCGCGTGAGGACAGGAGTGAGGCGCGGCGCAGCGAGGGAGCAAATCCAGTGCTTCTGTACGCTGTGGCACAATCAGCCTCCTGAGAGTGCGTCAGGCACGTCACCTAATCTTCACAGCTGCGCGCCTATACATCTTCTGCGCAAGCCTCAGCCTGCTTCGGCCAGGGCGGTTAGGGAATATCGAATGCGCGATGTCCTGCAATGCGCTGAGGCATGTCCATCTTCGGGATGTTTTTGCTGAACACCTTCGGACCGATGCTATTGGAGGCCCAAGCCTTGCTCGGGGAATGCTTCGTTCCAGTGACCCGGCGCAGTGAAAGGTCATGGGGTGCATGAGAGAAGGGGGATGGCTTGTCTGTGAGGATGAAAGTGCAGATGATGCTGTCCACCAATCTTTCATGCGCTGCTGGCATGATGCTTCCTGCTACTCAGAAAAAGCCCGTAGGGCTGGAGGCGGACGAGAGAAGAAGGTTGTCTGGTGTTGACAGCGTTACTCTCGAGTCAGCGCACCATCTCATGACTGCCGAAACTTGCGAACGGAGTGAGGGAAGGTCTTGCAATCTGGAAAATCCAGGTCTTGCAATCTGGAAAAGACTGTGCTTGAGTGCTTGCTGATGGATGGCAGCAACTTCTCCGAAGTTCTTTTGGGCAGGCATCGGAGGAAAGGCCGCCAGAGGAGGAAGGCAGGAAGTTGATGACTAGCCTGTTGTCCTAGCCGTCCTGGCCCTTCCTGTCCCTCAGCCTTCATCCATGACCGCTTCGCATCCGACCTTGAGCAGTCCGCACCCCATCTTGTCTTCGTAGAGGAACTTGCCGAACGTCCCTTACTTTGCCGCGCCTGCCAAGGTTTGATGATCGAGGGTTCCATTTCGACTCGCACGACCGAGACGAGAAGGTTATTGACTTGGCAGAGACGCTGGGACAGGCCGTGGCAGTAGAGTGCAGCATGTGTCTTGGGGTCGAATGGCTGCACCCCAAGAGGAGTACGGCATCCCAGCATCAATGGTGCACCTCTCAGCCCTGCTTCACTCGACTTCGATTCGTCAGGGCTCAACAGATCGCCTTGTCTGTAGAACCACTCGCTTGCAAACAACACATCATTCCTCTTTTATCCCGCTGTTCTGCTCGCGCTGCGAGGTCATGTCGCTGTTGGATGAACGCAGTAAAGTTGCTGCCTGAGAATTACAGTAGCGAGCGACACGAATGAAGTGCCGCCGCTGGATTTTCCCTCAAGCTTTCAAAGAGATGAAGGCCTTGTCTCCCGTTCGTGGAGGTTTGCCAGAAGCTCAGTACCTTCTTGGCCGCGGGTACTCAGCGCAAAGCAGAACCGACGTTGAGCCATCGTGCAACTCAAAACCCAGTCCTCTGCTTGAGACCAGTAAATGAAGGTCGCCAATTCGGGAGCATCGGGACATCGACAAGGCCGAGCCTGAAAGGTCTTTGCCTCGCAGTTCGTTCTCTCGACAGGTTCAAGTTTCCGGTACCAGAAGTGAGGAATTGCTCTGGCCTCATGTCCAATATAGGCAGACAGTTGCAGATGCCACCGCTGCCAGCTTCTGCAGGTCGGACCTGTCTCCTTCAGCAAAGACGGATCCGGTGCGATCCGCCTCCGCTCGTTTCGTGGGTCTGCGAGCGCGATTCGCGTGTACCTCAGAGAGATATAGGGATTGAACCAGAGCATGCTCCACCAGCTTTTGTCAGGAAACCGAGCCGGCACCGCGAACAAAGTGGAAAGAGCTCCAGGCCACTCTTCACATAAAGTCATGTCGTGCACATTCGGCGATTGTGTACATCGTGCGCCAGATGAAGCGCACCTGGAGCAAAATGGTTCGTTGCTGAGACAACTTGCAGATCCAACATCGTGCGAAGGTGAGAGAGACCTAAACCCGGGCCTTAAGGACAATTTCGCTTTGTTTGATTCCAGAGGGCCGCAAGTCGAGGAGCAAGTCCTTTGTTCGAGACCGCCCAGTGTTGAATCTACATGCGGTACTTTCGGCAATGCATCCTTGAAGCAGTTTGGCCTGGAGGAGGACCACTCGGCAGCCCAAGGCTGGGATGTGACATGGTGTTACCATGTCTTACTGCTTGCTTGCCAAAGACTGCTGGGACAGGAAGTAGGCTTCTCCTCCTAAATTGGGGTCAAAGTCCCACCAGTCATGCAAGCCATGTGATTCTTTTGATAGACTGTGATAAGACTGGAGAAGGACATTGGAGGGTCACATCGCATGGAGGCAGATACAGAGGCTACACGCACTGAGAGGTCGTGTGAGTTGAAGTTGACGCAAGCCGCGACTTCAAAGCTTTTTTCATAGCTTGATCCGAAGGCAAAGGCATCTCGAAGCGAAGCTCGCCTTCAGACGTTGAATTGGCTTTGAGGGGGCAGAGCCCCACCTTGGCCATCGTCTTCGGTTAATGTATGTAGCACTGCATGCTTAAAGGGGCTTGTTTGAAGCTCTCTGCCGAGACGCTCAAAGATTGTGTCTCGGAGCCTGTCCAGTGCATTAAGAAATGTCCTCTTGGTGTTCTTGCAATGTTTTGCATTTTGCACCGCGGCGCCTCATCATCGTTCTGTGTCCTTGCAGCCTTGCATTTGTTGCCCCGCTGCTCAGAAGGGTAGTGTTTGTGCCGAAAAGCTGTTTCGACAGTTGGCAGTTGTTGGAATCGTTGCCAAAACCCTAGCACTGGTTTGCCTAGGACGCTCGCTCCCAGCAAGATCGTGCAACACGTGCTCGAAGTCTCAATTTATCACACATTCTCACAAGTGTGAAAGCCAGATGCCAGTTGACTTCAAGGTGGTGCACTTCCGTGTTATCGCCGTTTTCTCTCGATTGAGAGTCGAGAGCCAGGTGAATCGTTTAATCTCGTCAGGATGCATGCTGCTGCTGGTCAAAGCTCTTAACCGGACGAGCGCCTGATGCTGAGGATCTCTCATTGTCCCGCTTTCGTTTTGTGTGAGCGTGTCGCTACTGGCTCAATGTGCTAAATACCTTAATTCAACCATATTCAACCCATCATGAAAACACAGGCACGCATGGATCGGGCGGAGAAAACAAAGCCACCCCTCGCCGAAGGTGCAAGTTCTACAATGCCGTTTGCTGTCCCTTCGTGCTATGCATATGGGCTACAAGCATCTACTGTCCTCGCCTCAGCATTGCTAGGCTGTCAGGCAGAGACAAGGAGATTTGGCCACATTCGGGGCATTCCCGTTTTGTGAGTTCCAAGTCTTTGAAGTGCCGAGTTTCTCCTGGTTTTTTCATTCCACGTTCCATTCAAAGGAGCCTCGCTTCTCTGCTCGGCCCGACGGGCAGCCTTTCGTAATTTGAGAATCTGCAAGAGGACAGCAAGTACATGCAGTAGATGGGCGACGGTCATGGCACACGAGCACTTAGCGGACTGATATGGGCTCGGCGAGTGTAAGACTTACTTTCTCCCAGGCTGTCAGTTCTGTAGCTGTCACATTTCCATCCCACTGGTCTCTCGCAATCGGTCTGCGAAGCAAGAAGTATCGCAGCAATAACGGCAGAGACGTTCAGATGTTATCACCACGCCAGAAATCCTGACACAAATACGTAACAGTTTCAACCAAGCCTGTCAATTGCCGCCACGCAACACGCTCGCATAAAGAAGCTGTCGCTGCCTGTCCTCCCCATCGTTGCCCATCCGGTGCAGGCTGCGGGTGTATCCGGGTCTACCTCAACCGCGGCCTGTACAAATTCTGCTGTTGCCTCTGCAGAGCCTTTAACTGCTGCTGGCTTTACACGGACAAGGACCCGTTGCTGGGTCAGACGCGCTTTTCAGAGCAGAACGAATCTGGCCTACAGGACTTCCCGCCTCAAGATGTGTCTCTCGGAGATGTCAAAGGGGACAGTGCAGCAGGTGACCGGGAAGAAGGAGCTCGGTCAGTGTCTGTCTCAGAGTCTTAGAGTCGCAGTAAAGGGTATCTCATCTGGACAGGACAGAAATTTGCAGGCCAAGTAAAGTGGGTCAGGCTGGAAGCCTTCAGTTCTCTCAGCATGACAGCATCTGAATGCATCTGACAGAGCGCAAGGGGCGGAAAGTTTCCGTTGCCCAAAGACAAGCAGGCGTGTTGAGGCTTTTTTCTCAAAGATCTTCTTCTGTAAATAAGCGACGCAGGGACGACAGCGTCGCATGCAGCTTTTCAGTTGTTGGCTTAGCAGCATTAGCAGTTCGCATGCTTTCACGTGCATTCAGGAGACCCCATCACATTGTGCTCAGGTGAGGAGGTGGACAGCAGAGACATCTGTCAAGGCAGCAGTTGGGACGTTTACCAGCGATGACGGCGACGCTGCATTGTGCCTCGAGGTGCACTGGGCGATTGCTGGCTTCTGGCAGCGATAGCCTGCTTGGCAGAGCACAAAGGGGCGATTCAGGCCGTGTTCAGGCAAGGCACCCACCTCAAACTGTAGCCTCACATGCACCAGCAAGCTGGTTCGACAGGACAAAAGAGGTCAACCCTCGCGGCAAGTATGCTCTTCGCCTCTTTGATGGCGCAAAGGCGCAGGGCTCTTGCACGTTTCATAAATCTGTGTCTTGCATACCGTATCCAGGAGAAGTGGGAAATCATCATCATTGATGACCACATTCCATGCAACAAGGCTGGTGATTGCGAATCCATACTCCGACTCTGACTGGAGCAAGCCTTTCAGGCATCCTACGAAAGAGACGGCTCCTGCAAGCCCCTCTTCAGCAAGCCGAACAAGAACGAGCTGTACGTGATGCTCATGGAGAAGGACCAAATCTTGACAAATTTCAATAAGGTCCTTTCCGGGCACAGATAAGATGTTGGGCTCTCGTTTAGTTTCAAAGGGTGTACGACACGACCTGCTGTGCTGCGTAGAGCACAATGCTCTGGGGTTGCACGATATATGGGGCATCCTGGGGCATCCAGCAGCGGGTTACGGCGCGGCTTGCGACCTGCGTCTTGTGAAAGGACCTGCGACAGCGTGAGTGCAGGGGCGCATGCGCAATCGTGGGGGCGAGACGAGACACGACGAGACGACGGAGCATGTCAAAGCACACAACGCGAAAGGGGTTTTGGACACTGCAGCTCTTTGCTGGACTATCTTCGGGTTACCGGCCTGGTGTTGTTTGGACACCCTGAATCTGGGCTATTACCGTAGCAGCCCTGATGCTCGCCGACTTTGTGTAGACTTAAGACTTAGTCACTTGGTCACTTAGTCGTCTTAATTTAACATGCTGCCTTTTGAATCGGAGGCCTTTGCCAAGTTCTGTGGCGGGTACTCTGCTTTGGAGGCGCTGGCTTCGCTTCGTTTCTTCCTGTCATGCTTTTGTTTCCGTTATGCAAAGGGGGGCCAGACCATATGGGCCATTCGGGCGATGACAGGCGACCCAGCGCCACTTGACTCTGATTGTTTTGGGCACGAGAATGGTAACTGAGAACAGTTTTTATTTGGCGAGCAACTGCAGTTTGAGGCGTCTCTTCTACCGAAGCGATGCGAAAGACAATTGGCAGCGGAAGGAGCTGCGTGCATTGGGGCTTCCTAGTGGTGTCTCGAGATTCAATGGAGGACCTCAAGAACTTTGACGATCCGCGTGACAAGCGCAAGTGTGGCTTATATGCCCGGGACGAGAAAATCGATAACGATACCATGCCTCCCAGCTGCTGTAGCAGCACTTGCGGGACGAGCAGCAATGCAACGCTGTCACAGGTTTGAGATCCTGCGGAAGTACCATGCGCTGGGCACTCCCGTCCGGTATTTTCCGGTTGCAATACGAGAGTCGCCTTGGCTGGCACAGCAATGCGCAGCAGGCAGCATCCTCTCAGCTTCGGGATCGAGCGGGGCCGATGGCTTGGTGACTGGCCATGCCTACTCCATCCTCCAGGCCAGGCCGAGGCGGCGCTCCTCCCCCACTCCTTTCACACCACTCCCAAAAAAGGTGAGGAAAGTGAACGACGGATTCATGGGCATTGGGGGGAAGGACGCCCTCTCTGCGAAGTGAGACTGGCCCTTCCAATGTCACCTGAAGAGGACTACAAGATGGTTCAGATTCGAAACCCGTGGGGCGCAGGAACCTTCCTTGATTTGTAAGGTCTAAGGTTTGTACTGAGAGCAGGGCGCCTGGTTTAGTTGTGAAGGAGAGTGGAAGGGCGACTGGAGCGACAAGAGCAAGTTGTGGCAAGATCATCCTTCAGCCACTTCCATGCATGGTTTGATATGAGGTAATGGAGAACATAGATGGATTTCAGGTCAAGAAACAGCTGGAGTTTGAGGATGTTGATGACGGCGCCTTTTGGATGCCCGCAGCTCTGTTTGCGGATCTGCTCATCTGACGCGAAGGCATCTCTATGCTTGCAGGAGCTGGGCTGATTTCATCCAGAACTGGAGCAGGCTCGCGAGTTCGAAAGTTGTCATGCCCGTGTTTGTATTTGCAGCAGTCCTTTGGTAGAGCTGTGCTGTCTGCATTTGCAGATGAAGCCGCCTGTACAACCAAAAGCAGGATCGGGGTCGTAGACCGCACGGTGGACATCAATTCGCTCAGCCTCCACGTGAAGGACACCAGCTTATGGACCATGCAAGTGGCGGCCATCATGTCAGTTTTACTTGTCACAGACTCCTTGTTCACGAGCCTGTTTGAAAAGCAGCTTCGTTTTAGGACGACTCTGCCTGTGCTCCAACACTTGGCTGTTGCCAAGGATGTTGGGAGCCAAGTCTTGCCTCAGCATTTATGGCAAGTGCTAATATCTGAGATTGTCGTCTGAACCGCCGCAATGGGAAAGAAGAGTAGCATAATGACAGTAGTATGGAGAAACGAGACTTCTTCGTCACGTCCAGTGCTACACAAAACACGGTGCGAGGGCAAGGTATCCAGAACAAACCAGTCACGTCGAGTCGTCAATGAAACTGGCAAACGAGACACGAATAGGGTGGTGCCTCTATGTGCCAGCAGATGCATAGCATCTCAGTTTCTATCTAGAGTGGCTTCTTGGCATCATCAACGATGTGTCAAGAGCACAGCCTTCTCACTTCACAACAAGGCCGTTTCGTGTTGTCTTTCGGACGGCCCTCTCATGCCTACGTTGATTTGTCGTCACTTCTTTCATTTACTGTAGTTTCACGAAAGAGCAACCACCCATGACGAGCGACACCACGATACACGATAACGCTGATATATGGATGACGATACTTATTATGATGGCAAGGCTGATCATGATGATGATGATGATGATGACGATGACGATGATGATGATGGTGATGATGCTGCTGCTGCTGATGATGATGTCGTGATGACGATAGCGGCGAAGGTGATTACGCAGGTGAATTAAACACAGACTACGATGCTGATACGGGCACACTTGTTTGGTTGTGCACGTGTGCATCAAGTGACAAACTCGTTCGACGATGTTACCTCTCGAGTTTTGCCCGGTAGTGCGGCAGCAGCTTCAAAAGTTCAGCCTCCAAGCGCAGCCATGTCCGGCGCAGAGCCTGCAGACGCCCCGTCCGATGCAGGACACACTTGGGGCGAGCCCCGCACAGAGGACGCAGGCGACGAAGCCGGCGCTGGAGCTGGAGGTTCCCGTTCGCGGCCGGGAGCAGCTGCCGTGCAGATGGCCGTCAGGGTCCTCACCGAGGCGACCGAGGACATGGTGATGGACACGTTAGAAGATGTGCGCCTCAAGGCCCGCGCCCGATTGGCAGCCTTGTTCGCGCAGTCGGTGGCGGAAGGGCATCAGGCGTACGACCCTGACCCGGTCGTTGGCCCTGGTGTTTTCTATGACTCCGCTTTGCTCGCGGCGAACCTGTTCCCCGAGGAGGCAGTGGACGAGGCCTTGGCGCAGACTGCTTTGGATGGGGGTGTCGTAGACTCGTCCGACAGCATCTCCGACACTCCTCCCGAGGGTGCTCCTGCAGAGAAGTCCGCACCTGCACAGCCGGCACCCAGTCCGAAGTCGGTGGCCAAGCCTACAGCCTTTTCGCCGCCGCCGCTCTCCAAGAAGGCCACGGCGAAGGCGCCGAGCCCGCAGCAGCTCCACCCTCGTGACGCCCGTCAGCCTAAGGCTTCGGATGCGGTGGTGCCTGTCGCGCCCCAGGTCTTGAAGGTGGAGGTGACAGTCCCGGCCGAGTTTCAGGACGTGATCGCCACCGAGACATACACCAACGACCCCGTCCTGGTCGCGCCCAAGGGAGGTACCAACCCGAACCCGCTATTCAGGTACCCTCCGGTCCCGGCGCACGTCCAGTTCGGCGGTGGAGGTCCTCACCCTACAGCTCCCGCCCAGCAGCAGGTCATGGTGAAGAACGTGCCCAAGGTCCCGTTCGTGCCCAAGGTGACGACGGCTCCCCCCCCGGCTCCTTCCAGTTCGGCGACTACAGCAGCACCGGCAGCGGATGCCAGTGCGGGGGCGAAGCCCGCGGGGACCACGCAGCACCAGTTCGTGCGGAACCCGAAGGCGCAAGGGAACCGGGCGGACATCCCGAGCGGCGAGCCCAAGGCGAAAGCGAACCCGGTCGTGCCTACCGTGTGGCCGCCTGGCGCCACCCTTCCGACAACGACTGCCGCTGGCGCCCAGTTCGCTACGGCTCCTCCGGATTATTGGGATATTACATCCCCATGCATGGTCAGGTGCCCTCGCTGCGGGCTTCGGCCTTGCGGCAGGGTGAACAGACGTGGGCATCGTCGCGCCCACTCTCGCCACCTGTGCCGGTCTTGCAAAGACGCGGAGAGCTGAGGTCCTGTTCGGCGAGGTCACGGCCCCAGGACCTGGTACAATATGATCTTCTTCCTGTTCGGTGCCGTCAGGACTCTGTTTTGCACCGCTGCTTCGACGCAAAACCCGTTAGGGCGGGCCTCGTGGGTTGTTCAGGGTCGGGGTTTTCCTTTCGGGCGGCTTGTTCGGGGACTGCGTAGTTCTGTCGTGCCTTCCCCGTTCGGCCCCGGTTTCCCGAACCCGCTCGTCGCGTCGTAGTGCACCGCACGTTTGTGAGTGCAGCCGGGGGTGGGCCTTGTGGGAGGCGTTCAGGGCACCCCGCTCGTTCGGTGGTTTGTGCTTGGGGTTTCGTGGTTCCTCTCCGGTCCCCCTTCCCCAGTCAGTGCGAGTCAGGGCTGGACCGACCGCCTTGTTAGCATGGGTGGGGCGGGGAGAGCAGCCGTGAGAGGTTTACATGATTGAGTGTGTGTCCGGTCGTGCAACCAGTTCGCGCGACAGCGCTGCTAGTCCCGGCAGGGTTTCGTCTCAAGTCGCCCAGTTGCAGCTCGCAGTTCGCTCGGTCATGGCCAGCAGGGGCGCGGGTTCCGACAGTCACACGTTCGCTTCGCTGGTTCAGGTTGCGGTCTCGGTCGGTGCAGCTGACAAGCTCGAAGACCTGCGGCTGGCAGGCATCCGCTCAGCCGCGCAGTTGTCGGCAGCGCCACGTTCGCAGCTGCGTGCCCTGCTCGGAGATATAGTTCTCGATCGTTTGTTGCAGCCGGCAGGCACAGGGGCGGCCCGCGGGCCAGTTCAGAGTCGCAGTGACTTGCCAGTCGTGCACCCTTACGCGAGAGGTTCATGCAGCGGGTCTCGTTAGAGGGTCATGAGGGCTCGTTCGAGGCAGTTGACGACGCTTTTCTGGAGGATCGCTATGCCAAG